TATATATATATATATCAGGAAAATTCATGGACGAAGCATTCGGAAATTAGGCAAACCTTAGACACGTTTGTGGCTCATTAGCTGTTAGGTATAAACAAGTGCAAGCAGAGACAACACAAATGCACGGAGTCATTAAAAGAAGCCATCCGAACTTTGTGGTTTCTGTCAGGTCACCTTGAATAGAAATATCACTGAAATCACCACGAGGCACGCTATCTGCGTGAAATCCGGGTCCAGTATACGATGTAGATGAAGCGGAAATTATGCAAATCGCATAATGTGGTATGAAACCACAAAATGTGGCTGGCTTCTGATAATGCATTTGTGTCGTTTTTGCAACCAAGTGCTGCTTTACCTTGCACCTGGCTACACTGTATAGATTGCGGCTAATGAACCAGAAACACGTGTCTGCGGTTTGTGTAATATATGTTTTCTAATATAACATATATGAGTGCTTCGTCAAAAGACGAACATATGACTTTATCACGACGTTTCGGCAAGATCCTACTTGCCATATTCATGTATTGCCCTGCTTGGTAGCTGAACTTGAAACTTAAATCATTCTTGTCGATGATTGTCTGTTCATACATTGCTGTAGTTGTGGCGTGAAAAGTCCTGATTGGTCGGCGGTGTGCATGGTTGGCGGTGTACGAGAAACGTTCTGATTCTTAAAAAACATATCTTGAGCAACCTGAAAGACAAAGTCAACCAAGAAAACAAAGGCATATATAGAATCTCATGAGGATATTGCGGCGGGGAATACGTCTGCTAGACAAATAGGAGAATATCAGACAGATTAGAGGAACACAAACTCTCACTTCAAAACAAACACAACCTCGGCCCTATACAAACACTACCTTGATACAGGTCACAACATTGACTTAAAAAACTGCAAACAGATTGCCAGTATACAACACCAGAAAGATAAGGGAGGCAATCGAATTCGACAAGATCGGCAGTCTAAACAAGAGAGACGCACATATCTTATCCAAAACCAAGGCCTGTGCACCACTATTTTAACGGCAAACACACCACCCAGAACAATAATCAATGTGTCTCCAGTCGTGCTCACACATCACACCACTCAACCCCACCAATCAACCATAACTTTTCCTGCCAAACATGTACACCGCCGACCAATCAGGACTTTTCACTCCACCAATACAGCCTATGGCAACGTACGAATAACAATAATTTACAAGAATGATTTCAGTTTCAAGTTCAGCTACCAAGCAGAGCAGCACATGAGTATGGCAAGTGGGATCTTGCAGAAACGTCATGATAATGTCAAAGACGAACAGATGTAGGTACACCCGGAATGACCCTTCCTCATGTGAGAAGATTGGTACATGTTGCCATGGTGACGATGTGATATCACAATATTTTAATGGAACCGTTGCACCTTTTGGCGGTTCATACAACATTGCTCTGCTTTTCAAGTTACTCTATCTTGGTTAATTCGATCATTTGATTATTATATTAACATTTGAGAAGTCGTTACTATTATAGAACGCCAGTCGTTGTACTTGAGTTATTTATTTTATTGGCCACCATATAGGGAATTTTCCATCTCCTTTGCAGTTTGTGACAATTTCCATGCCCTCCTCGAATCACATTGAGTTGATTCAACACGCTTGTGTTATGAATTACAGCCACGCTTATGGAAGTTGAAATTTTACTCAACGATTGCCTGGAGCTGGGATGAACTACATAATCTCATTATTCTTAGCATGCAAAGAATCTGAAAACGTTTTCTTTATTCATTGAACATATTCATTGAACATTAATAATTAAATTTGTTGAAGCATCAGTGTTCATTTAAAAATAAAAACAATAAAACTTCAACAATTGCAGCTGACACCGCAAACTGGAGTATACAACCCAACAGCACCACAAATTCAACAATAATTGGCAAGGGAGGTTTTTTTCCCTTTGGTGTGGAAGGGATGATAAAGGGAGCAGCGACCTGTTTTTATGGTTTTGTTGGATTTGACTGCATTGCTACTACAGGAGAAGAAGTAAAAAATCCGAAAAAGGCTATACCCATCTCAATTATCCTATCGTTATTCATAGTTTTTTTGTCATATTTTGGCACATCCGCAATTGTTACTCTTATGGTGCCATATTATCTTCAGGTAAATATTTTAAATTTTAGTGACTAAAAGATTTTTAATGGTGTTGTGAAAACTGATGATGTTTATTTTTTTTTCTATTAGCTGCATGTAACATTATTTTTAATTATTCGTAAAAAGTAGAAACTGAGTCTAGTTTTCACAATTTATGTTTTTCACTTACATACATTATATTTAGATATGAAAAACATAAATTTTTCAGAATGCTAATGCTCCTATACCATTTGCTTTTGAACACATTGGCTGGGAATGGGCTAAATGGATTGTTTCAATAGGAGGAATTTTTGGATTATGTGCAAGGTAAATATTAAAGTTATATATACCATTTTTAGTAGTGTGCAGTATTTTTATTTATTTAGGTTACCCCAATATACAAACGTTCATTGAAAATACATAATGTAAGTACAAAGTATAAATGGTAATAATAAATAAATAAAAAATAATATAAAGTTACTTTGGAAAAAATGTCAAATTGGACAGGGAAGAAAAATCAGTTGATCGGTCATATGCATGTCATTTGGCATCATTTTTAAAGCACAACCTACCGGAGATATCAAAAGTTGCTTGAAGAGATGAACAAAAAAAATCCCATTTGATGCGGACTTTATGTGTGACAATGTATATTTACTCATAATAACAACAAAAAGGCTAAACAAACTCAGTTAACGTGCCGCAATGACGTCACGTTGTCGCTTACACGTTACCTTAGGAACAAAACACATAATACAATTTCTTTTTTAAGAAGAACATCGTTGAAATTCTCTTCAAAATCCCTGTTTTATTTTTTCAAATGTGGAAACTGGGACATAAGCTCAGGTAATTTAATTAATTACAAACTCAGGTACTTGAAATGTAGGTACTTCAAATTATAAAATTAGATATATTAAGCATTGAATATGTAGACTATAGTTAGTAAAGACACGCCCGAAGAAGCCATTGTATGGCAAAACACGTGTTGCGTTTTTTTAAAACTGTTTAGTGACAATCTCACAATGAAGTGTTTTTTGAATTTGTCAGTTATGGATTCTCATTGAGTATCGGCCAATTCCATCATATATCAGTCAGACCCTTTTGAAAAATGTAATAATTTTTAAAATAATTTCAACTGGATTTGAAGTTACTTTAACTACTCAAATGTTTGCTAAGCTGCAAGAATTTTTCCTCTTCAATTAATCGAATGTTCTGTCATTTAACAAATTTGTTAATGATTATATTAATCTGAACTGATGTAATAATTTTTTTAAACTTAGTTATAACTAGTTGAGAACAGAGTCCGAAAACAAAACATTTATGATCCAACAATAAGTGTTATCATTGGTGTTAGGATGAACCACGAATGAATTGCTGGACTCAACTGTCTTTAAAAGACAAGCCTGACTAATTGATGGCGATAACATCTTCAACGAAGACGCCATATACTGAATCAACAGAAGACTCAATCCATGAATATCAAAGATTAACAAGCTTCTCTGAAGTGATCTATTATTGCAAAGTCAAGCTCAGACACTGACCACCAAATAATATTCATCTTCTGTCTTTAACTACAGCTTTCTCCATTGAGCAACTAGTTGAAATTAGAGCACGAAACACTGATGAGACCTATGACACGCTCAAATAGTTTTATCTAATGTTGAATCACGAATGTTTCATTTTAGGACACTTATTTCAACTAGTTCCAATGAAATACAAGAGAACTAATTTTGTTCAGCACTCGATGTCAAAGTATGACTTTACAACAGCCCGCCTTGGGAGCCTGGTTTATTCTTGATATTCATGCATTGTGTCTCCTGTCTCTAATGGAGACAGCTGGGTTAGTTGTTGTTTTTTATTAACACGCTTTTATTAGCTTCACCTGTTTGTATGTATGCTTGTTTGTTTGTTTGCTTGCTTGTAACTCTCAAGCTCGGGATCTGTATTTGACATAATTATCAACATTATTGCTTGATCTATTCGCGGGCAGGTGATGCTGTACATAATCTCCTTGATATATCGACATTATTTCTTGATCTATTCATGGGCAGATGGCGCTGTACGTAACCACCTTGATATAATTCAAACTCACTTTACATGTATTTATTCATTTGAAAAATGTTTTTTTTAATTAATACGCGCGCTTACTGCTCTATTTGTAACCCTTCTTTGGGCGCCTTCTGCCTTGGGCTTGGTAGCTGATTTTCAGGCTCCCTCTCCGGAATCGGAAAATATCAATGGTCATTTTTCTAAACAATATGTGGNTAGATGTCACAAAACATCTTTAATAAGTATAGATACAGATGCACTTAAACACATACATTAAAATTTATTATCTTTTTTGATATGCTGCAATAACACTTGTTTGGAAGTGTTTTAGTGTATAAGGTTGGATTGTTATTGGATAAAACTCATCAATTAATGAATGAAGAAATTAATACCTCATTATATTCAGTAGAAAAAGTAGTGAGCTAATACTTCAACTAATATTCTCTGTAATTGCTGAAAAAATTATTGTTTTTACTTTACAGAAATACTATATTTTGGAACCATGTCAAAATACAAAACTTACCAAATTTTTTGATTGCATTTTTAAATTTGTTTACATTATACAACACTTTCATGAACAGATTTTTTTGTAGACACTATGGCATCTGATACTTTTACAATATAATTTTATATAATATTTGTGAACCATTATTTCTCTAACAAATCTCTTCTCATAAACAGCAAAATTACATCACTTGAATATTATTCATTATCTAATAACTTAAAACAAAAACACAAGTAAAAATCAAACATAATAACACCATCATGCACAACAGTACAAATAAAAGACAATCTGTACCAGTGTTGCCAAGCTAATGATGATTGCAAAACAGAAATGTTTTTGCCAAGAAACGTTCTTCAAGTTTGAATGTATATGAATCCTTACTTAATGGACAACCCAAATTATGTCACATAAAAGATTGGTGGAAAAAGCAATAAGCCCATGAGGATGCAGTATTTTCTGTAAAATTGGGATAAATGAACAGGTGGAAAAATCCATACTTGGCAATACGCCAACGCCACCGATTTATGAGATATTTTTGAAGTCATTAAATTCGGACACATTTTTGGCACATGTGATTGTTTGAATTACTATCATTTTTGCCATTTTCTAAAATTGAGACTTTGAAAAATATTTTGAATGCCTGATCATGTTTTAAGGATTATTTTTCTATCATAAACAAATAGCTCATATGCATTCCATTTTTAGAAATAAAAAATTTGAGTTGCACAACATGAAAAGGACAGTGTTATAAGAAGTATGGTATAACTTAATTTTTTCACAGGCAAATATGTGCTCTAAAAAAAGACACAGTTGGGATCCGCCCAGAAAAAATCGAACACCCTGTGTGACCGCCAATATTTTTATTTTGTCGAGCTCGAGCAATAAGGTAATATTATAGAAAATTAGATTCCTATCTGCTTCCTATATAGAGATATGAAACACCGCGCCACTGTTGCAGGACCCTGTATATATATATAATTATTTTAAATAATCCATTGAATTTAAAGGCATATCCTTGGTTATGAACTATCTAGATCAAAAGTCGATCTAAACTGTAGCCATTTTATGTTGATTTACACAGCCTACAGAGTTGTTCGTTGCATTTTAATTCCCATCCCAGTATATAATATGTATATTGTTACGTTTTTCCTGTAGGTTCGACAATAATTCACCTCACTGTACAATTGAACTCAACCTAATTTCACTTCTACACTGTCAAGACAACACAAACACTAACTGAATGAAAGCTATTTTCTGTTTTTTTTTTGGCCGTGGCCTGCAGATGTTTATTCCTGACATTTCGTCTCATGGGTCTCTTCAATCTTGGGAACAGAAAAATTCGCAGGGGAGTGCAGGGGTGGCTTAATTAAACAATTTTCACAAACATTTTTTATTACTAGACACGTTTCGCTACGGTGTTAGCGAAACATGGTAGAAAGTAAGCTACGGTGTTAGCGAAACGCGTCTAGAAAAAAAAAGCGTTTGTTAAAATACCGTTTCTACCGAGGAAGTTACGGTGTTAGCCAAACGTCTCTGGAAATAAAAAATGTTTGTGAAAATTGTTCAGTTATTATCACGGATAGTGTTATTAATTTTCATTAAGTAACAGGTCAGTCCATTCATAATATTTATACTTCTAATATTGTAGCTGAAGCCGAAAAGGCAAAGCATGCTAGGTTTCTATTAAATATTTTCTACAGTTGACAACTCTTGTACTTCTCATTTCAATTTGCTAATGATTTAATGAACAATTCAAATCAGTTGAACAGTTCGTATGTTCCGTATATTTCACTGTATTATATTATGTTTTGTAATATAAAAGTAATATCACTTCCTATCGCCCAACCGTGTTAGAAATCTCACGTTAAAAGGTGAGACCTCATTAGTCCTTGGCTTCGTAGGGGGACGACAGCTGGTTAACAGAAAAACAGATTTTAAACAGATCACCGAGTTTTTCATTGATGTCCTCGCCAGTAACTACACTTCGACAACTTTTTTCAGGGTCTGCCAGTGTAGCTAGAGGAATGACGGAATATGTGGATATGCTGTTGAACAACACATTAGAAAACACTTTTACGAACATTGCTCCAATCAACATTCCATATTTATCAAAATATTTTGATTTCTTCTCCTTTGGAATATCAGTATTGCTATCGAGTAAGAATTATTCTTCTTTTTTTTAATATATTATAGTTTTTGTTTTTCAGTTGCCTTGGCATTTGGTTTGAAAGAAAGCAGCTTGGTGAATAATATATTCACTACTGTAAATATTTTTGTTGTTCTGTTTGTTATAATAGCTGGATCAATCAAAGGTAAGTCAAGTTAAGTGCACATATAAAATTATGTATGTTTTACTTGAGTCATTCATTATTCTTGTTACGCACTACTCAAAGTTTGAAAAGCCACGGTATTCTTCTGAATTGTGTCCCTTATGAATGTGGCACACAGATTCAAGAAATAAAATACATGTGATCATTATAATTCCTTCTCTCATGTAAAGTTGTCTACATGATTCCCGTGGTCCTGCTTTGCATAGATAACACACAACTCCCTTTTGCAAAATAAACACTGAATGCAAAAGATGTTTGCTGCCTGAAAAAGCTATATTGTATCTCAAATGAGCTTCAATTAAATCATAGTAGACCACTTCTGCTGTGGTTGAATTAGATTTGTGACAACTCTAAGTAAATAATATCCTGATGCTAATTTTTTGTTTAATGTTATGTACTGATCAAATTTCAATATATTATCTATGAATGTACCTAAGAATTTGAAAGGTGTTAATTTCTATACCATGGTCGTTTAGTTTCATATCCTGATGATAGTTTCTAGCATACTTGAGGTTTTTTTGTTATACCAAAGAAGAGTGATATTATCTTCGAAAATAGTGAGCGTTCCTTGAACCAGAATAGCAGCTGTTTATACATAAGAGGAAAAGGATAAGGCCTAGTACATAACCTTGAGGGACACCATAAAATATGTCTCCACTTTCTGATAGTTTGCCTTTCATATTCAACCTGTATTCTGTTACTAATAAATAGTCTGGTTCACATGTACTCGATTTAGCTCTTTTTGGTGACATTTTTCAGCACTGTCCAAAAATTACGAACAAAGTGTCATATGATTCGTATTTTTGCCTAGAAAGTTTAAGGAAAGGTCCGAAAACGCGCCGATAAAAATTACAAGTTATAAACAATTAAGTTAAAAAAATGGGGCTTTAGTTTTTTCTTAATATCTCGGAAAATTTT